GCAGCCAATCGATGATTCTTTCTCATCATTGATGTTTCTGTCTCTCCCTTGCCTTTCCTGTCTGAAATCAATAAAAATATATTTTTTTAAAAAAGCGAACCCAAGCATCACCTCTGCTGTAAGATTTTTCTCCACTGTACTTATCCTATAAAATGTAAGCTTTCTGAAAGACAGGAGTTTTTCTTATGTTTTGTTCACTGCTGTACTCACTGTCTAGAGAACTTAGTCCATTTCCATTCCCCTCTGCACCCCATTGAGCCCTTTCAGCCCACCCCTATCCTCCCCCCAGCTCCTCCCCTCGCCCCAGGCCTTCAGCACCTTACTGTCTGTGTCCATGCGTTATGCATATATGCATTCAAGGTCTTTGGTTGATTACCTCCCACACCGTCCCTCTGAGATTCTGCACTCTGTTCCACGCAGTCCATTTACATTTAATGCCATTTATGTCTGCCATTTGCTATTTGTTTTCTGTGTGTCTAGAACAGTACATAGCACATAGTAGGCACACTGTAAACAACTGAATGAGAAGAGTAAGTCCAACTTTTTTTCTTTTTTTTCAACGCTTTAAAAAACTAGATTGCTTGTATTTTCAAAGGTTAGCTTCTGGCATGTGCTAACTTAAGGAGGCTCCAATTTTCTTATTCAAAAACAATCTCTTTCTTTTGCTTGTTTTTCTTTTAAACTTTTTAATATGAAAAACTTCAACACAAAAGTAGAGTGAACAGTGCCCAGACGGCATGGCTCAGTGGTTGAGCTTCAACCTAGAAATCAAGAGATCACTAGTTTGCTTCTGGTAGGATACTGCCCAGTTTGGGGTCTCAGTCCCCAGTAGGGGGTGTGTAGCCGATAGATGAAGTTTCTCTATCATCAATTTCTATCTCTCTATCCCTCTCCCTTCCTCTCTCTCTAAAAATCAATAAAAACATATATTTTTTAAAAAGTAAAGTGAACAATATAAAGAACTCCCAAGAACCCATCAGTTGAAACAATTATCAATACTACTTTGCCATTCTTATTTCATCTAGCTCCCTACTTTTTCTTCTAGAGTTCTTCGATTTTCCATAACCCCTCTTTAAAGGAGGCAGCCACTGTAACCTGGTGACTTAAAAGGCAACTACTGAAGGTGCTGGGGTCTCAGGCTTGCACATATTTCCTTGACAGAGAAGTCTGGTCGCAAAGTGAAACTTAAGAACTAAGGGACCCCTGCCAGCAACAACAGGTCTTCAGAATCATTTCTGCTATGAAAATCAATTTAGTTGCACTTAGCTACGGATTCCCAACTTTTAAAGACTTAAGATCTTTAACTATACAACCTCAGCTTTTAGTTTTTCCTATTTGGACATCTGGGAAGATTGTAAGATCACATTTTCCTTGAAACTTAAAATCATTATCTAATATACTGGTTTTACTTCCACAATTACTTATTTATTTTGATTACACCTATTTCTTACTCACCAATTTTATCATAAATCTTAAGTTTTTTAACCTCCACATCTTGCTTTTTCTTTATTGCTTTCTTTGTGCACAATTTTCCACATTTTGCTTGAAAAACATGACATTATTACCTACCAGCTAAACTTCTAAAATTATACCACAGGAAAACAAATAACTAAAATATATATTAAAAATGAATATTAAAAAAGACAGAATCATAGATATGGAGAACAGATTAACAGTTTCTAGGGGTTAGAAATGGGGCGAGGAATGAGGTGAGTGTGCCTTGTTGATGAATGTGCTGTATCTTCACTGTGGTCACACGAATCTACACCTGTGATAAAATTGCACAGAACTAAATACACAAATAAGTGCATGGAAAATAGGTGAAATGTGAATAAGCTCTGTGCACTGCACCAACACCAATATCCTGGTTTTGATACAGTTCCTCTAATGGAAAAATCCGGGGAGAGGGTACACAGGACCTCTCTATTATTTTTTGCATCTCCCTGTGAATTTATAATTATTTTAAGTTTTTTTTAAAAATAATGTTGATGAACATCCTACAAACCTTTACTCCTCAGAATTTATTCATGCCATAAATAAGAGCACACTTTCACTTCTCATAAAAACCAAATCATTTTTTGTAGTTTTGAAATCAACAATTTTGTAATTGTTATGCATTCAAAAATATTATACTTTAAAGTGCCAGGAGTCCTGTGGGCACACACAATGAAATGAACATAAAATTATAAACAGCAAGATAATAAAGCTGTTCAATGAATTGCCCAATGCATAACTTTGCTTACTGTTTGAGATATTTCAGCATGATACACTCCCACAGAGACGCTAAGTCCCTCGAGGGATGACTATTGATAGCATGGAGCTAGAGAGGTCAGCACTGAAAGTACACAGGAATCACTAACGTAGTAGGACTTTAGGTTTGAGTGAGCTCACAAAGCAGAAAAAGAGAGGGGATGCAGAAGGGAGAAAAAGTCAGAGCAAAATCCATTTTCCAGCATAGTCTGTGGCATAATTAAGTCTCCAAAGTCCTTCCCAATCAGGGTTCCTTAGTGTGAGTCAGTTACCAATTTGGCATAAAGATCTAAGCAAACAGGTTTTCTCCAAGGGCACACATATAGTTCATGGTGCCAATTCCACGTAGCTGGCCCAATTTCACTACAGTCCCAAGGTGGCTACATTCAGAGAATGAGACAGAGTGAGACAGAGAGTGAGCCCCTCTAAAATAAAGTCATAAAGCAGCAGGACAGTCCATTCAACAGAAGGACTTCTTCCCTGTTTCAAAAATAAAAACACCACACGAAACAAATAAAAATGCTACTTATTTTTATTACTTCGTGGTTTTATTTTAATTCTTGAAAAAAACAAAGCCAATTCTACAAATTACTGGCCATCCATGGCCATCTTCATGCAATAGCTCTATGGAAAAAGTTCTGGCTTCACATCAGAGCCACTTTAGGGGCTCCGTTTAAAATAGTTTCTACTCTTATACATGTGCTCTAAAAATGAGGCTGAAAAGCAACAACAATACAAATCCAACTGGCCAAAGAGAGAAGAATTCTGGTGGACAATTGGACCACTGTGTTGCGAATTAAACTGTTCACACCTGCAGAATAAGCTCACCAGCATAACCGATCTCCCCTGAAATGCAGCCCCATTGTAGCAAAAGGGGGATCTCTTCTTCCACTAACTAGATCCTATCTTTCACTGATAAACTCTTTGGATGAGAAAACCAGCAGCAGATGTGAAAGCCACATGGCCCTCTACAAAGCAGGAGAGCAAAAAGCAATGTTAAAAGAAAAGATTCCTTAAACAGCAGCTCCCTATCAAGAATGAAGATGTTATCATCGAATGCTGACTTTGTGGAAAGCAGCTAGCTATTAGACGCTATTCCAAGACTCCGGCTCACGGTATCAGGCTGACATCCAGGAGTTGGACTCGCTCAGCTACACCCTTGTTTTCAACTCTTGGGAACAGGGCCAATGTGTAAAGTTAGAATATAACAAACCCAGTTTGCAAGGGGAAAGAAGAAGACAATGTGGGCACTCTTACTTAATGTAATCGATAGGCTCTGAGCGTGGTTTACACTTCAGTACATTTTCATTTAGCGCATTTTAAATTTGAATAATTTCTTCCATAATTTCCCAAAGATTTCCACACTCTGCATCAAAAAAGACTCGCTAACACCCCCAATGAAGTAATACTGTGGCAATCAGGAATACTGAAGACTTTTTCAATTACCTATTTAAGTAGAAAAATACAGAGTAGGGCAAAAGTAGGTTTACAGTTGTGAATACATGAAACACAGAGTTTATTCTTGTATTATTATTTGTTAATTATTGTATTATTTTTCCATACAAACTGTAAACCTACTTTTGCCCTGCTCTGTAATTCTGATTAAGCAAAATGCTTCATAAAAAAATAGTGTAAAAGCAGAAACTCTATAAATTTTATGTGATTTCATTCAACAACCATAGAAATAGCAAGCACCAGAGTCTCAATTTGGCTACAGTTTTCACCACTCAAACTGCCTTAATATTTTTAACTTTACATTCTTGGTGGGGCTTTGGATTTTAGTGTATGTTTCTCCTACCACTCAATCTTACCAAATCCTTTCTCTTAAAGGTATAGACACTTGTGTAAAATACATTATAGAAACTGGGGGTGGAGTGGGGGGGGGGGTGGTAACCACTAAGAAAGTTATTTATTTGGCATTTATAGACAACGGGTATCACAGTGCCCATGAAAAGCCAGCAATCATATACACATTTAACTTGTGATAAATTACACGCTCTTCACCGAAAAGATACCCTTGCCTCAAAACATGCCAAAGGCACACTGGCATCACCTGGTTAGAAACACAGACTACTGGGTCCCACCCTGGACCTCCTGAACCCAAATTTGCATTTTATCAAGATCCCCTGTGATTCGTGTGCACAATAAAGTTTGGCCCAGACGATATCTCCCACCATCCCACTCCATGAATGTATGCTCCAGAGTAAGCATGAGATGGGTGTCATTGACCTGCAATTCCCTTGGTGGGTCTCAGGTCTCACAGGCCTCACACCTCACTGAGTGGGTTCTGGTGTTTAAAGAGTAATTTGGACTCTATGCCTAAAACATGACTTCACTGTTTTGTCCCCAGGTTGACCCTCAGCTCCCAACCTAACGACTTGGCTTGATTAAACCAAGGGCTGGCATCTTTGCATTAAAAACGGTGAAGACATTAACAGCTCAGGCTAGCTCAATAAAGACGGCGCACAGAGTTGTCAGCCTTGAGCACACAGCCACAGGTCAGCCATAACTCAGACTGCAGGGGGAACAGAGCTCTGGAGCAGATGGTCACAAAAAGATAAACACCAAGTAACAATGTCAAACACAATTCCTTAAGTTTAAGGTTGCTTTTCTTCACATTAAGATGCTACCCAATTCATTAATTCTTTAAAGCTGGTCATTCTGTTAAGTAAATTTCTGTTATGGAGGAGCTTCCTATACTTTAATTACATATTTAGGTAGATCTTCAATATCGGTTAATGACGGCTTACCTGTGCACACCTTCCCAGGTCTTTCCTGTCCAGATACTGAAATATATTGATTGCCAATTCATAAGGCAGTTGGATATCAAAGAAGGGCACATCGTCCATTTCATTCTGAGAAGAAAAGGAGAAAGGCAATAAGCTTACAATTCTGAGATTTTAAAATGCTCATATTTGCAGGCCCTTTAAATTACCAGAGATATTCTTAGGTGGCGACAAGAGAGATGATGGTGTTTCCCAGGGGAGTCAAGGGTTGTCACTATTCAGCAGAGCTCAGTCATAGAACTAACTCCGAACTTGACAACCATTCTCAATTCTCTACACCCCCACAAGTCTACCCTCATATTCACGTATGAAATCCACAAGACCATTTCCCATTATGCTTCAAAAGGAGAAGCAGATGCCATCTGCTTCAGAAGCAGGCTGGTGTATCACTGGTATCTGTGCATAGGCCTGTGGAAAGCCTCTTGGTCTCTAAGGAAAGGTAAGCAGCAGGCAGCCATGAAACCAGGTCAGCCATCGGTCCTCTTAGGACAACTGCTACCAACCCCCTTCCCCCCCGCCCAACGTGAGGGGAGGACCCCGGAGCCACAGGAGAAATGCTGACCTAGGTCACTCAAGTGTTTTCATCAGGAAAGGGGAATAGGGCCGTGAACATGAGCAAAAAGTAAATAAATGAAATGCTGCCCTAGAGCGAGGTGAACACCAGCCCGCCTTGGCCGCGGGAGAAGCACGAGGTTTCCTAATGCACTCAGGGGCTCACACTGGTTAACCTGCGTGAGCCAGTGCAAACAAAGCAGTTCTTCTTCGGTGTCATTTATTAATGCGGAGAAATTAGAGCTCGCCTGCCTTTGGATAAGCAATTAGGGATGAGGTAACAGGCTTTATTTGAGAGATAAGGCTGTCATGACGATCCTAGTAGCACAAAGAAATATGAGTGTGAAACAGAAAAGAAAACCAAGTGTACATATGCAACCCTCTGCCTGTTCCCAAATCCACCTGCCAAAGCTCGCTTTGGTGTTTGCTTCTGCAAAGCCAGGCAAAGCAACGCTCTCTGTCCCAACAGAACTTGCTTAATAAAATTCATCTTTAATAAGCTTTGGCTGACATCAGTGACTTACTAGTTGCAAAAAAATTACTAATTCATCACTCAAGTATAACAATTATTTATTAGAAGGCTGAAGTCTCAAAAGTGAAAATAGTCTCAGCATTTTTAAGGGAATGTGAGCACTGATTTAAACCCTTCAAGATTCAAGGTAAAGATTGTTCTGGAATCATGTTTTCCATTCATCTAGGAGTCTCAGGGCTAAAAGATAATCCAGGGCATAAGAAAGTATTATATTCAACTACAAAAACAGTGCAAGGCTAAGTGTGAGGCCAAAAAAGATCTCTAGAGGAAAAAAGAGTTAAGAGTTGACAGTTCTCTGTGGGTAAAGAAGGAACAGAATGTTAAATCAAGAGAGAAATGTTGGCTATACAAGGAGGGGAAAAAAAACAACAGGGAAAAAATCTGTCAGTGTAATTGGAAGACAAAGGGGTCCTTGCCTAAAAAAATAATGAGAAGTCATCAGTCTAATGTCAGGCTAGGAACCCTCCTACAACTAACTGGCTTCACTCATCAAGAAAAAGAGGCATCACGTTCTCTAATCCAGATGCGACTGCGGCTCCTCAACACAGCCCTAGAGTGAGTCACCGGCAGTGGAGGAGGCCACAACAAGGCGTGAGACTATCATTTGCAACCCTGGACTTCTTCCTGCTTTCTCTTTTGATTATTGGACTACGGGAAGGGACTCCACCTTCCCTACTCATAAAAGGAACAAGAGAAAAACGTTCCTTATTCTCACACAGCAGAATGAAGGCCAAGAAAAGCCTGCGCCCGTGAACTCGGCTTTTCACTGCTGAGACGTGCCAAGCATTGTTTTCTCCCATCGTTCCCTTCGGGACCCACTATAAACTGGGTCTGGCCTTAACACTACTGTGAAGAAGCATGAGAAATCACCTGTGTTTTTAGTTATTTTGATGCAGAAAAGTCTTACTTCTGGTGGCAGCAGCCTTCCCCCTTTTGCCTATTCAGTTGACCAATTTTCTATTTCCATCCTAGAAAACAGTGCCTCTACCTTAGCATTCCCCAACCCTGCCATCATCTTCCTTGATCCCAACCACCGAGATCTCTGGGATGTAGCACAGCATGAAGTTTAGAGCAAAGATTCAAACTGATAATCCTGGCTCTTCCTCCTGACTAGCCATGAGACCAGGTTAAATACATCTGAGCCTCAGTTTCCTCATCAGCAAAACAGGATATAACTACCTGCGAAGAGGTATGTTATTAAGAATAAAATGAGCCCTAGCCAGTTTGGCTCAGTGGATAGAGTGTCAGCCTGCAGACTGAAGGGCCCCAGGTTCAATTCTATCAAGGGCTCAAACCTAGGTTGCAGGCTCCCAGCCCTGGTCAGGGCATGCGGAGGCAACCAATCAATGTGTCTCTCTCACATTGGTGTTTCTCACTGTCTCTCCCTCTCCCTTCCAGTCTCTCTAAAAATCAATGGAAAAAAATATCTTCAGGGTGGAGAAACTAAGATGGTGGCATAGGTAAACACCGGAGTTTGCTGCCTCGAACACCCACTTCAAAAATACAACTAAAAGACGGAACGGACATCATCCAGACCCACAGGAAGGCTGGCTGAGTGGAAATTCTACAACTAAAAGGAAAGAGAAAAGCATACCGAGACTCAGAGGAGGCGCAGTGCGGAAGTAAAATACTAAGGTACAGAGGCGCACACGGAGCGGGCTGGCGGCTGAGGGCATGGATGTCGTTTTCAATCGGGAGGGAGTCTCAGGCTCTGAGCTCCAGTTCCGGGCAAGTCTCTAGGGACCCAGACTCATATGGGAGAAGCGGGACTGTCTAGCATCGGTCGGAACTCGAGGGCAGCTTTCTCTCGGAGGGGCTTGCAGCTATTGCCGGAACACTGAGAAGCAGGGCCTCTGAGAGCAGCCATAACCGCTAGCCCCGCCCTGTTGATCCCCTGGGACCCGCTCCGCCCAACCCCTGCACGGAGGCTTTTGCTGGATAGCCTAAGGCAGAGGCTAGATTAGCACCTCCCTAGATATTCAGGAGCCAGTGTACCCAGAGGTCAGAGTGGGACCATCCAGTGTGCAGCTCCGTGAAACCATAAAGGACACACTCAGGGGGCAGACTCAGTGAGCACCAAAACCCCACTGAAGCAAGTCTTGCCCCGGAGGGGTGTCTCCAGGACAGAAGTTCTCCCACTGCAGACACAGCTGATTCTCACAGCCAATTGGCCTGGAGGTCAATTCCTCCCAATGATACCTACAACAATCAAGGCTTAACTACAACAAGACTGTGCACAAAGACCACAAGGGGGTGCACCAAGAGTGTCCTCCTCAGGTAATTGGGGAGGCTGAACCACTGGGCCCTAGAGGACACTTAGCACAGAAAACCACTTTATCAACACAGGGAAGCATAAAAAATGCAGAGACAAAGAAAAAGGACACAAATGACAGAAATGGAGGAAAGCAAACTACTGGATATAGAATTCAAAACCACACTTTTAAGGTTTTTCAAGAATTTCTAGAAACTGCCGATAAACTTAATGAGACCTACAAGAAATCTAATGAGACCCTCGAGGTTGTGATAAAGGACCAACTAGAAAGTAAGCAAACACTGACTGAAATAAAGAATATTATACAGGCTCCAAACAGCAGACTAGAGGATCGCAAGAATCACGTCAATGATTTGAAATACGAAGAAGCAAAAAACACTCAACCGGAAAAGCAAAATGAAAAAATAATCCAAAAATATGAAGATAGTGTAAGGAGCCTCTGGGACAGCTTCAAGCGTACCAACATCCGAATTATAGGGGTGCCAGAAGAGAGAGAGCAAGATATTGAAAACCTATTTGAAGAAATAATGACAGAAAACTTCCCCTACCTGGTGAAAGAAATAGATTTACAAGTCCAGGAAGCGCAGAGAACCCCAAACAAAAGGAATCCAAAGAGGACCACACCAAGACACATCATAATTAAAATGCCAAGAGCAAAAGACAAAGAGAGAATCTTAAAAGCAGCAAGAGAAAAACAGTCAGTTACCTACAAGGGAGTACCCATACGACTGTCAGCTGATTTCTCAACAGAAACTTTGCAGGCCAGAAGGGAGTAGCAAGAAATATTCAAAGTGATGAATGCCAAAAACCTACAACCAAGATTACTTTATCCAGCAAAGCTATCATTCAGAATTGAAGGTCAGATAAAGAGCTTCACAGATAAGAAAAAGCTAAAGGAGTTCATCACCACCAAACCAGTATTATATGAAATGCTGAAAGGTATCCTTTAAGAAGAGGAAGAAGAAGAAAAAGGTAAAGATACAAATTATGAACAACCAATACACATCTATCAACAAGTGAATCTGAAAATCAAGTGAATAATCTGATGAACAGAATAAACTGGTGATTATAATAGAATCAGGGCATAGAAAGGGAGTGGACTGACTATTCTCGGGGGGAAAGGGGTGAGGGGGATGTGGGAATAGACTGGACAAAAATCGTGCACCTATGGCTGAGGACTGGGTGGGGAGTGAGGGAGGAGGGTGGGGTGGGAACTAGGTGGAGGGGAGTTATGGGGGAAAAAAGAGGAACAACTGTAATAATCTGAACAATAAAGATTTAATTAATAAAAAAAAAATATCTTCGGGTGAGGATTTAAAAAAAAAGAATATTACATGGAAAGGGCTTGGCACAAGTAAGTACCAGGGCTAAGCACACAATAATGGGATGTTAATATTGCCATTTTCTTTTCTTGAGTGACACTCCAACTCCTTTTTCCATCAACAAATATGTGTTGATTAGGTCCACATCCCATGCTATTCCCCTACCACTTAGTTGTTTACACAGAAAATTGCCTCCCCTGTCGTACTATAAGCAGCTAATAGTTGGTGACAGTGGAAAGGGGATGTTATAGCAGAGGCTAAGTAATCCAGGAGTCTGAACACTGAATATGTCCATACAACAGGTCTTTCCTGAGGAGGCGTTTTAAAAAGAATCATCAATTTTAAAAGGTTATACCACAGTGAAAAAAAACGGTGCAGCCACCAGGGTACA